CGGGTGTCTTGCCCACGCGTTGGCTCTGCGAGGGTCGCTGGTCCCGCCGAACACCTGCCGCAGGCCCGCGGCTCCCCGGCGGCCCTGCGTCAGTGCGCCCCCCACCTTCTCCACGAGGGCGCGCGTTTCCCGGGTCGCGGGCTCTCCTCCCCGTGTCTACACGCGTGTGCGCACACGTGATGTATCCTGAAGTAATTGCAGTGGGAATCCTGACGTGCTCTGCCTCCTGCTGGTTTGCGCAGGACCCGCGTGGGGGACCACAGACACGGTGCCCTTGGCCCTGTCCCCCGCGCTTCGTCTCAGGGACCAGTGCAGATTTGCCTGGGAGTTGAAATTACACTGGAGGCCTCCTCCCCAAGCTTTTCTACTGATTTTTTGAGAGTGTGTGTGGGGGGGGAGAAACATTCATGCCTCCCCATTGGTTACCTCCCACAGGAGATGGAACCTGCAGCCCTTGCAGGTATGGGCCCTTGACCTGGAACCAAACCTGGACCCTTCTGTCTGAGGGTGGATGCTCTAACCCGGAACCACACCAGCCAGGTCCACAAAGTAAGTTTTATTTTATTTTATTATTTTTTTAATATATCTTTATTGATTTCAGAGAGAGGAAAGGAGAGGGAGAGAGAGATAGAAACATCAATGATGAGAGAGTCATTGATCGAGCCCGCAACCCGGGCATGTGCCCTGCCAGAAATCGAACCCTGATCGCCTGGATCCCAGGTCGACGCTCAACCGCTGAGCCACGCCCGACTGGCACACAAAGTAAGTTTTAAAAGTTGCCACATCATACAGCCTCCCTTAGCACTTAGCACTTGCACACTGAGCAAAGGTCACTCCAGCCAATCACAGAGTCCGAGGAGCCCTCGAGTCTAACCTACATGGTGACTGCATGGACTCCAATACCATCGTCACAGAAGGTGCTACTTGCCAGCAGTGGCCTCATACTTCATGTACAGAAGGGCTGAGAAAATGGAGAGGACCTTGAAACCACTGGTTTCCCACAACTGTGTCACTCTCGCCATCCTTGTTTCTTGTGAAACGTTAGGTGTAGGCATCAGAAATATATGCAGCTTTAGATCGGAACCACGACCTGCTGTGCTCTTCCTCATCAGCCTGAAATAGGAGTTTCTCACACCTTGGTGGTTGGGAACACTGGATTTAAATAGGACTGCATAGGACTGCAAAGAAACAAAAGAATGAGATGTGATGGATGCACCTATTTCAGGAAAACGCAGCCCATTATTTCTGAAACAGGGATACTAAAATTAGTGAAATGCCAAGTAGAAAAAACAAGAATCCGCAGATGTGCACTGTAGTGACAATCACCTTTAAATTATGCTGTAAGGTCCCAATAAAGGACCTGAAAATGAGCAACTTGTTATTTTGTTGAGGGTCTCTGCAGGTCACAATTTTCCATTGTGAACACATTTAAGATGACAGACTTTATTAATAATTTAAATTTTTTTAATTACTGATGCCAATGGCAATGACATGGATAATTTTAAGTATTATTTTTCCTTTTAACAGAGGATAAAGCTGAGAAATTAGAAAGATGAAACAGTTGGGTCTGAGCTCATGGTCAAGGAGTCATTCTTCTCCGGTATGTGTAAATGAAAACGTATCTTTGAATGTCCTTTCAGAAAAGGCCCCATGTACCTCATATTACCGTCCAAGTACCCATCTTACATCCAGTTTTGCAAACTTACTTGATGGCTCCTTTACTGTCTGCATTGTGACGCTGGCATAAGACACCAACATTTGATGACTTTCTTATATAATGCTAAGGATTTATATGAGGAGCCTAAAAACTAAACTTTTTAAAAATATGTCTTTATTGATTTCAGAGAGGGGAAGGGACAGGGAGAGAGAGAGAAACATCAATGATGAGGGAGTCATTGATTGGTTGAGCCCACAATGTGGGCATGTACCGTGACCAGGAACCGAACCGCAATCTCCTAGATCATAGGTCAATGCTCAACTGCTGAGCCATGCCAGCCAGACTAAATTTAATTCAAAGAAAGATCTATAATAACCTATTTTTTGTAAGGCAAACAATTTAAACATAATTACCATTATTAAAAAAAAAATCAGTAGATAAAAACAAATATTCCACAATCTTACTAGTACTTTACAGTTTGAATGAGAACACTAGGCACAGTGTGTTGACTAACATACCCCGGAAAAGTGAGGCCCACACCTCCAGCACAGGGGGCAAACTGGATCCTGCCGCCCATGCCCAATCCTGGAAATGGTTCAAGCATTGTAGCCACTTGGATTCTGAGACATAAACCAAAACATAAAACCTAAGTAAGTCTATTGTATGGCACCAATTAAAAACAGACTGCTCCAAGAAGTTAAAGGGCCCAAAATGTTCATTTTACATCTGTGCTGATTGGGAAGAGATCTCTGTAGGAGAGTGCTGTGATTTTCTCTAATGCTGACAAGTGTTGCCAATGGTTCACCAAAGCCACCTGCAGCCTCCACCCAACCCAGGGACGTGGCTCAACTCAGACAAGCCATTCACCATAAAAAGGTACACGGAAGACTCTCTGCTTTTTATCCTGGATTATTCAAGCCAATTGTACCCCAGGTGAGTGGAATGGCTACATCACCTTTACCACAGACATGTAGGCACTGTGACCACATTTCACTTGTGCCCACAGCACTGAGATGGCGGGGCAGGGACTATACCGTTGAAGCCGCTTGGTGGTTGGGAGGAAAGCAGACGATCCTGTTCACAGCATTATTTAATTGTGCTGTTATTTTAAATAAATTGTGTCTGCAGTGAGCTATGAACTACAGATGAGATCTGTAGAAGACCAGGAACACTTTATAAAAATTACAGAGGGAGAAGGAATATAATTTAGTCATAAAATGGTGCTATAAAGTTTTCTTCTTTCTGGGAGCTTTAAAGCACAGATCGTATCACTGTCCCAGTTCAGAGGTCTGCAAACTTTTCCTACCAGACTACTCACTATCAAATGTAAATAATTTGGGCCTTGTGATCTCTCTCAACTTCTCAGTGCTGCTGTCCTTCCTTGAAAATAGCCATAGGCAATACACACACCAACGGGGCAGGGCTGTGTTCCAATGCAACTTTATTTACAGACACAGCGGCAGGCAGGCGTGACAGGACGGCAGGAGTTTGATCTGCCTTCTGTACCAGTGCTGTCCACCAGCAGCACATGAGCCACATGTGTAACATTTTCTAGTTGCCAATATTAAAAAGATAAAAACAGGTGAAATTAAATTTAATGATATATTTTATTTAACTCAAAATATAATTTCAACATGTAATCAATATAAAAAACTATTGAGATACCTCACATTGTTTTGTACTGAGTCTTTGAAACCACGTGTCTTGCACTTACAGCACACCAGTCATATGTCTGTGCTCAATGGCCACATGTGGCTATTGGCTACCTTCTATGCTGGGATTTCTACAGCAAATCCAGAGCTTAGTGCATAGTGGAGTTTGGTTCTTAAAAGACAGGGGACATAACTGTTGCCCCTAGGGAGATAGGACGAGGGGTCACAGCTATTGTGAGGGAACAGTTGGCCTCAGGCACATTAAGATGAGGTGGCCCAGAATACTCCGGCACAAATGGAAAACCACATCAATGACACAGTCTGAGGACATTTGCTTCACATACCAACGCAACAAATCTAATGTGAAAAACATTTGATGTGGACCACGAAATGACCAAGGTGTGGCACGTACGTCATCTTTGGCCTTCAATAAAGAACGTAACTGTCATTAAATAGAGCCAGCCTTTAACTCTGACTACACAAGAATTTAAAGAATGTAAGGATGTGCTCAAGAAGACAACAAAGAACAATGTAGCAAGGAAAAGTTTCAAAGTTAGACTGAATTTTTACAAGTTTGATGCTAGTGAATAGCAGTTTAATGCGTTACCAGAGAGTGATCCTAAGCCTTAGTTAATTAAACCCTTGGGAATTGCACGACCTAACCTAACTTCCTAAGTGGCCCAATCAGTATTTCCAAGATAAGCATGTATATAGCCTTTTGCTAATAAAACCTCGAGGCAAGTGTTTTTAACAAAAAATTTATTACCAAAATACAATATTAAAGTCAATACATGACAAACTCCTATAAAGCAAAATAAATTATTCTAACATTGTACAGTATTTCCAAAGGTAGTTGAAGCCCGGCAGCCCTCGCCTCATGGTAAGCAGGTGAGCTGTTCTGCCAAGAACACAACCCTGGGATTTCAGGCGTTAAGGCATGCAGCTCGCTGTGCAGGATAATTTTACAAAATGCAAATCATCCTATTTTTATCAGGATACAGTCTTTAACTATAGTCTTTCCATGTCAGTGTTCCAGAAATGTTCAGACTTTGGCTATAGAAGCAAATGCCATTAGTGTTACACAATACTTATTTCTTAAAAAAATACATGTATTCATGTTCTTGAATAGCAAACTCAAATTTCTATTAAATATATTTTATAGAATATTACTTAGAGCACCTTGCTGTACAATAAAAAAAGGTTAAATAAGTGTCTATGAAAACTAAAAATATACTGACTCTCAAGAGGGAAGTCTGCTTGTCTTTGACAAGCCAAGCCAAGCACATTGCAGGAGATACAATGTAAACGGGTGCCTTCCACCTGCTTGGTGAGGAAAGACAAATAACGAGGCTACCTGAACAGGGTGAGACCCGGAAGAGGCTGCCTAAGTATCGCTTCCGTGCACTGCCTCCAGACCGCCTGGAGTGTCAGCACAGCCCTGTGGAGCCTGGCCAGCCGTGCTCTGAATTACTAGAGAGGGAGAAAATGACAGAGCCCGGAAAAGTGTTACTAATAATGGTCACGATGCATCGTCTTCCCCTCCCCACGTTTGCCTTATCTAGTAAGTTTCTTTGAAAAATGATGTTAATATCAACTCTCAGAATTGTAAAGTGTTCAGAGTGGAAAACAAATACTGTAGGCTCTGTATGGCAAAAGGTCAGTGCCAGTAAACAAAACATTTGCAGAAAGGAAATTCCTGCTGGTTATTTTAATACCTCTCTCTTCCTCAATTACCACTGCATGTTTACTCTTCATTATTTACTTTTAGAAATACTCAGTTGTTCTTGGGGAAGATACTTATGGCTGGCCACAACATGGTAATGAGAAGGTACAGAACATCCTTGGTGTGTGGTTACCTACAGGCCAGGAGTTTTTTAAAGGATATTCTAGGAAAGATGAACTTTTAAAGACTGAACTTCTGGGTTAGTTTTTATCCCATGAGCTAGAGAAATTTTAAATCCATGATTCCAAATGATTAAGCAACTATCAATGGAAGTGGTTTAAGAAAATGAAGAAAGGTAATTTAAAAATGCACTGTTGAAAATAACCATTTTTTTTGGTTACTAGTATTTTCCAAATGATTATGTAAAATTAAAGCCAAGGAAAATGTATAAAACAAATTCTTCTAAGGTTGTTAATTTTCAGAATCTCAGCTTTTTGTAAAGAAATACTGAGCCATAGCTACAAGTAATGGAGGAGTGGACTGAGTGGTAACAATATAAGTGATAATAATGGAATCATTTAAAATATTTTATTTGAATTTGAAATAAAATTGTTTTAATTCTGAAAACAAGAGAAAATGAATATAAATCCACATGCAGTGGACTTGGAGAATATAATTTACTATACATAAATTCATTTTATCTTTGTAAAATTCACATATCAGAAATGGAATAACTTTCACAAATAACTTATAGTTACCTAAATTAAAGAGCTGCAAAGCTACGATCAATTCTGTTTGAATCGATCATCATGAAAATGAAATTAAAAAAACAAATCTATGTTTCCAGATGCTTGGCCCCACTTAGTTCCTAATGCTATCTTAAAAAATGTTAATTTATTCAATTTACACCTGGACTTGGGGAATAAAATTCTTTCCTAAAATGTGTCTACAGAGTATCACATTCAAAAACTGTCTCCCCTATTTCCCAAGTTCCTCAGCACCAGGGCAGGGAGCCGGTTCGGGAAGAGCACCATGAGGCGGGCTCGCAAGGAACCACCTCCGACTGTGGGCACAGTTTACTTCAACAAAACAAGACATAAAGAAATGACCCAACTACCAATGCAAAAACAAAAACTCTGTTCTCTTCACTGTTGGAAATGCATTAATACAAAATGTATAAATAATGAGAAGTCATATGTATTTGATGGTGCGTTTTAAAGCAAAAGCACGTCAGCTGGCTTCCCATGTGTCCTATCGCACGCTGACAAGAGGAATTTCCTAGAGAGAAGAAACCCTGTAGACTTGCCAAATGTTACTAAAAATTTTATAAACAACCTGAATTTTCACATTTTAACCATATTTCGTTACAACTCCTATGCTAAGTGTAACTAAATCAATAAACTATAGGAAAGTAAAATCTCAAAGACCTCTTTTTAAGGGGATTCTGGATCTCACTCTTCTTCCCTCAAATGATTTTTATTTAAGAGATCAAACAATTTCCAAAGTCTGATGATCAAATACAAATTTGTGTACTTTGTTGCTTTAATAGTCTTTCAGATAAAAGCTCAGTTTGGTTCAGAAGAGGGTGGAAGGCCTGTGTAACCACCAAGACTGTGTGACCTGTCAGACACTGAAGACGCGCTGGGGAGTGACTGTCCTGTGCTGAGACACAGGTCTAGGGACCCTGAGGTCTGGCTGAGTCTGGTGGGCTCACCTCTCTCTTCCTGTGCCCAGGTTTATAGGAAACCCCCTGTAAACCTAAGACAGTGATTTACTCTTTAAATGCCTATTTACAATCTAGATGTGGATTCAAGTCTCTTTCCTTTCTTTCCCTTTTTTTTTTTTTTAAGGAGTAAAGCAACATATCTGAGACTATTTGATTACTTCCTATCAGTTGGAGGAAGATTCAGGTAGATTACTTTGAAGCCCTCCCTGCTGACAGCAGCCTCCCACTGCCCACAGGAGGCCTGTCATTCCAGAGCTGCTGTCAGACTGCGAAGGAAGAAAGCCAAGCTCTGCTGAAAACTGACACTTTTATAACAATGAGTTTTAGAACAGTTCCTGAAAAACCCTTTCTTAGCTCTTGTGCTTGCATTTCTACACTGTAGTAAGCTTTTCATAATAAATACACCCAACACTAACAAGAGGTAACAGAGGGTTAAAACAGGGTTACATCTTTGCTTCTTCTCTGACCCATTTCCCCTCTCTCAGAATATTTAAATATTATTGCCGCGGATCCATCTGGTTCCAAAGTCACACCCGCCATTTCCTTATAAACCATCCCACTTCTCCTCTGTGTCTGGTGAGATGCCTGGGAGGCCTCCTGCAGCATCTAACTTGAGTTCAGAGCTGTGCTGTGCTCCTTGTTCAGGATGATGTTCACAATCTCACCCTCGTGCTCCTTCATGTGATCCAACAGGTTTTCTTTGCTGGTAGATTCGAAACCACAGATACAGCAGCAGAAGAGTAAGACACAATACTCCATACCCGGAGGGGCCACACTGGAGCTCTTTTCTAAACTACATGAGGTATTGCTTGCAGGGCTGAGTTTCTCATTCTCGGTGGGAGCCTGGGGACTTGGCTCTGAGGGTGACACCACATTATCTGAACTCCCAGTGAGAGGATCAGCTCTTTCTTCACCGCTGTTTACTAGAGTCTTTCCAGGGGATTTCCCTAGAACCCTTAAAGCCAAAGAAAAGCACCAAACCGTGAGCTGGTTAGAATGCAGGACTTGAACTTACACATAACAACAAGGGCCGGGTTGGCCCGTACCTGCCGCTCTGAGAGATCGCGTCATTGATAGCCTTGTTCACCTGCTCGTAGTTGTAGTTCTGGTCGCTTGCGTGCTTCCACATGTGCGACTTCAGGGAAGGTGGGTGGCTGCACACGTACCCGCACAGAGAGCACCTGGAGCAGGGGACGGAAGTCACATGACCCACAGCATTTTTAACCATGATTCTGTAACAATTACTACATTCCTTCTCCTGAAGCCATATCAGACATGTATTTCACTGAATCTGTATTTAAAACCATATATATATAGAAAGAGAGCCACATTATGGGATGAAATAATGGCATTTTAAGGCATATTCTGTCAGGTTTCATTTAGATGTCACACAGTAACTGTTCCACACTCACCTGTGTCACACCTAGAACACCAGGGGAGAGAGGTAACTCATGAAACAAGTTTCAACTGGGGTGAGAGTCCGTGCCCAGGGCCTAGCACTCCTGTCATGACCAGCTTAGCTCGGGCAGGAACCAGAGAATAGGCAGCTCTGCGACAGTGGGACAAGCTTCTCTACGTAAGCAGTTTATTCTTGAGAAGCAAAGTTTACGTAAGATTAATGATTTCTACTTATCAGCCCACCTCCATCAACTGAGAATGCTGAAACGTATTAGAATTAGCCTCTGTGAAAAACCAAGTAACAAAATTAAATTACTTTGTTCTATACGTGACAGATTAACTTCCAAAAACAGAATCTTTCATAGGGCATTTTATTGCTTTTAAGTGTTTAGAATCTTCTTACTGAGTAATGACTGGAACTGCTATGACAATTCTATGAAACTAAGAGCATGGAACTGACAGACACAGGCATCTTCCTATATTCCAACCATACACGACGTCTGCTGTCCCAGGACTTAAGCTTAAAATTCATATTCTTTAACAAACTAAACAATACTACTTAACCTGTGTTCAAACAAGTGTGTGAATTTTTTAATAACTTCTACTGTTTTCTTCATTATAAAGTGTTTTTGTTTTTTTTTAATCCTCACCTGAGGATATTTTTTTCCATTGCTTTTGGGGGGCGGGGGGAGAAACACACTGATGTGAGTGAGACACACTGATTGGTTGGTTGCCTTTAGCCTACAACAGTGGTACGTGCCCTTGACTGGAACTGAACCCGGGACCTTTCAGTCTGCAGGCTGATACTCTAACCACTGAGCCAAACCAGCCAGGGGTTCCTTATAAAGTGTTTTAACACAAGCATCAAAACCCAGTATCGTCATACTTACCTGTACGGCTTGTCCGAGTTGTGGGTTCGTCTGTGGTTTCTGACACCAACATATGTCGTACTTGTGTAATCACACACATCACATCTGTACTGTTTCTGGACTGAAGACTTATTTTCTAGACGAGGCATTTCAAAGTTTTAGTGACATTCTTTAATTAGATTAAAATGGCAGCATTTACGTTCCATTATAAATGAATGTTTACACCACACAGTATTAGTGTCTTGATCAAGCCTTTCTCATTGATCAAGTTAACAAGTTTGAACATGGCTTCGCAGGCTCTCTTATACCTGGACTATCAGCAGATATAAACTGAACATCACCTGACCTGCAGACAAAGATAAGCTGGCTTGGTTTCGACATAACCTTGTACAAAATTCTAATATAATGAACTTGATGCAGCTGCCCTGCTGACTACTAGCAGCTGAATTATTATTATTATTTTTTTAAGTATATCTTTGTTGCCTTCAGAGAGATGAAGGGGGGGAGAGAGAGAGAGAGAAATATCAATGATGAGAGATTCGTCATTGATGGGCTGCCTCCTGCACGCCCCCAACTGGGCATCGAGTCCGCAACCCAGGCATGTGCCCTGACCTGGAATCGAACTGCGATCTCCTGGATCCTAGGACAATGCTCAACCGTTGAGCCATACCTGCCGGGCTAGCAGCAGAATTAACCAGAGATCTCACAGTTAATGTGAAAGGTGTTAGTCTAATCAATATTGGATATATTGTCTTAAGGAAACAGTGATTTGCCAACAAGCTATAATTTAATACCAGAATTCAATATTATGAAGTGTGGCTATAAATTATCTATAACGAAAGGAATACAAACAGCCTAGTGCTTTTTCAGTCTGTGGGTTTCCTCTGTTTAAGACTGTCAGCTGTCAATGCAACCACCAGAGAAAATCAACTGTTTGCTATTACATGCCATGTAACATTGCACAGTAACATCCAGCACCCTGACAGGTCATGAAGACAAAGGTTATATCCAATATGAACGTGCAGCTCTGAATTCACAGGCCACTACCCAACAAGGCTGGGCAACTGAACCCGGAAAGCTTGAGACCACACAACTGAATGACGTGAGCACCTGAAAATGTGCCTAAATATGCCCAACCCTTTGTTTACTCTGTGAGCATCAAGTCCACACCATCCAAAGCCCAACTGCTCTATACTCAGAACAAAGCAAGCACAGACTTGGTATAGGGCAGAGCAGGAGAAAGATTAGGGACAGCATGCCATGGCACATGAAGGTGAAGTGCAGGTACAAAACAAACCCACATTGAAATTTTAACAAAACAAAGAAAATCCTTAAGTTAAATTTAAGCTTTCTAAAATGGAAATTTTCTTTTGGTAGTAATTACTTTTGCCAGGCAGAACAAAATGTCCTAATTGCCTGGTATAAATCTATTAAGAGACACACCAATTATGACTATAATCTAGTATTACTCTTAATTCGTACGTTAAAAATTTGGACTTGATTATAAGGGGCATCGTTCCAAATACAGTTAAGAAAAAAGTCCCTGAAGCCCGGCCAGTGTTTCAGTGGTTTGAACGTCGACCTATGAACCAGGTGGTCACAGTTCCATTCCAGGTTGGGGCACATGCCCAGTTGTGGGCTCGATCTCCAGTAGGGGGAGTGCAGGAAGCCGCCGATCAATGACTCTCATCATTGATGTTTCTGTCTCTCCCTCTCCCTTCCTCTCTCTCTAAAAATAAATTAAGAAACATATTAAAAATAAGTCCCTGAAAAATGAAGCGTGAATGTCAGATCACAGTTTTGTGTGAGTAGTACTGCAGACCAATCATAACTAATAAAAACGACAGATAAAAAGCTGCCTGCAGCACAGAATAAGATGCTGTTCTGCCTCAAGCAGCTGTTTTCCAAGGGAAAGGTACTGGGTTTCAACTCAAGACCTTGGGCTTCATCATTGCTGCCACCTAGCGCCTTGATCATAAGCAAATTATTTCCCTTCTGGGGGACTTGGTTTTCTTATCCACAAAACCTAACTACCAGAGCATCCCAGTGTGGTTCATACTCCCTCCGGTTCATACTCCCTCCACTGCACCTATAGTTTCTGATTTCCGTGTGAAGTCTCTGACCTGTCACTGTGGATTCCTTGGGGACAGGGGCCTGCCTGCTGTGTTTATAGCTGACTCCCCAGGGCTTGGCAAATTGCAGGTTTGCAATAAAAAACAACTTACTTAAATCTCACAAGGAAACACACATGAAATGCTTTGCCTGTGGCAATGTTGGAGCACCTGTCTTGGTCACTGGGCTGGGCTCTTCAAAGGCACTGACACCGCCTTCACTGTACTCCCAGCACGTGGCACAGGGTCCAGCTCAGGATGGTGCTCCTGCCTTGGGCAGAATGTGTGTCCCAAGTACCATGACCCTGTGCCTCTGAGCTGAAAACATGCCCTGAGGTACCTGTGCTGTTGTAACAGGTAGAGACTGGGGCCACAGGGGCACTACTCTTCTTTAATTAGATTACTAAACGGTTAAAAAAATTTTAGTAAATGTAAATGACTAATTTTCATCTTCATCTTGTTCTGTGGCTTGACAAACAGATTTTGAAAGATATAACACTGAGTGAATAAAGCACCAGTGTAGGTTTAAGCACCCAGGAGGTCGTCTGTTATCTGAACCATCACTCTATGATGACAAGAGACCAGAGAGGGAGCTGGGTGGGCAAGACATGGCCTGCATGTAAAATCCACACTCAACCACAGGTGGCTGCAAAATGGAATATGATGGAAACACTAATGTAGAGCTCGCTATAAAATAGTGAATGGGTTACTTTAATTTTGAGCTCACATGTTAATCTTTTTATTAAAATTGTGCATCTTAATTTGTTAACCCATTTGGACAGTGTTAGATTATTGCTTTGAAGACGGTGCAGAAAGGACGTATTCCAGTTGTGCTCACCGCAGGTGGTGCTGCTGAGTAGGACTGACTTTATCCGGTCATTAGGGATTCACGGTCCAAAGATATCAAATGTTTTAATGCCTCCTTTACAGGGATGTGGAACATAATGAATTAAAAGTAAGAGGAGCATTTAGGGCTATTCTGCAGAAAGGAAACAAACTGTTTTAGCTGAGCCGTCTCTGCAGAGGCAGATGCTCTGTCATAAACTCCTTTTGTCTGGGTGGCATTTGCAGGGATGACATCTGCTTGACAGGGGATTTGATGTTAAAGTGGTGTCAGAGCAGTTCTTCCAGAAACATTCCAGAGTTGGTTATGTGTTCTGGGGTATAACTTAATGAACATTACAATAAAACATTTTACTCTGCAGTTGTTTCTAACTTTAATTCTTAGGAAATCTAAGAAGGAAAGTCACCCCAATAATATTTTATTTCCTATAAACACTATGCACCACACTCGAGACACTTAGGAGTTTATCAATTTAAGTGAGCTGATTCAGGGGAGTACAGCTCAGCACATGCTACCCAATTCTCTGGAGATGGCACCCGCCTTTTCATGGAACTCTAATTAAATCTTTTGATTCTAGTATTCCTATTAGCTGAAACTTGGCTGACTGGTACCTTTCTTGTACATAAAACAACCTGGTGGTGATGTTTTTAAGAGTACGGATGATATCTGGCAGTCAAACTTGGTTATGGCAAGTTCAAAGCAGGGCCTCAGAGTCTGAGGTGGGGGCCTGGGCTGGGGTTGGGGGACAGGCTGTTTCTACCCAAGGCTTTCCTGGTTCACAGGCATGTCACCTAAGGGCTATGCTGCCCTTGGCTCTTACAGGACAGTAAAAATGTCAATGTCTTATCTACCTACAAAGAGAAGCTATGTCTTTACCAACAGTACTTCACTTAGGACCCAGAGCTTCCCAGGGAACAGAGATCAGAGCCACTGATGCCCACAGTATGAAACAGAGGAGGACAGATGCAGCTTTAGTCCTGAAAACAACCCACTGGACAGAGAACAAAGGGCACTTTTTGCTTGGAATGCAAGTCACTGCAGCCGTGTAGGGAATGCACACGTACCTTCCTGGGCACACTTCGCCTCAGCCATGTCCCTGGAAACTCTTGGCTCTGCAGAAGCGGCTACCGACAAGGTATCTGGAAGACTGTGTTGCTCTCTCTCATGGTTCCTCAGCTGACTCTAAAAATTGAGAGAAATTAACAGCACTTTCCAATGAATACACTTGCAGTTACAGGAGGCTATGGAAGGAGTCACTGCTTTCATGGCCTGGAACCTAGAACATGTCACCAGTATTTCAAAAGCAAATGTGTTAGAGAATTAAAAATGGTGGTGGATTGAGTGGAAGCCACACTGACACTCTCCCCAACCAAACTGGAATTACAACTAAAATATAGAAAAACCACCCTAAATAATCAACTGCAACTGAAGACGAGCTGGAGAGCACCCTCAAAACCAAGGAGGAAAAGGGGGACCGCATAGAGACGAGTAGGAAGTGCAGAGGCTCAAAGAGGGCTGGCTGGGCACCCACAGGCAGCAGCTGAAGGCCTGGAGGGAGATCTCAGCTGTGGGGGGTTCCCACTGAGGACTCTGGAGCCTAAACCCCGGGCTGGGCTCCCCAGCCCAGAGCACCAGAACTGAGACAGGTGCCCACATAACATCTGGCTCTGAAAAGCATCCAGGTTTGTCTGCCAGGGAGAGAATGCCTAGAAATGCAGGCCCCCTCTTAAAAAGCCAACACACACAGTTTTGTGTGCAGCCACTCACCTTGGGCTCCAGCAGAGGGAGGGCAGAGTGGACTGGAGCTGTGTGGGGAGGATCCAGGGCCATGGGCTCTGGAGACAGAGCTCAGAGGGCACCCCTCTGGATTCCTGTGCCGAGTCATTTCACCCATACTGCAGAGGATATCTTTCACAGGCAGACATTTACCTTCCAAGTAGCTTCTGCCTGAGGGGGAAGCAACTGCCCCACCCTGTGGTTTCCACAGCCTGAGGTTCATTAGAGAATCAGGTTAATCAGCCTGTAGGCAGAGGCAGACTTCAGAGTGCTTTGAATCTTTGCCTGATCTGCTTCTGGACCCGAGCCTTGGAAAAACAGACTTTGGTGTGCATACTGGTCCTGTCCAAATGCATCCAACCCCAAGAGAGGGGACCTTAAGACGTGGGTTGTTGATAACTCCCAACAGGGTACTCAAGGCCAGTCACAAACAGCGTCTGACATTGGCCTGCACCAGAGACCCTCCAAAAAGACTGAGAGTCCTAGCAGATCTACCTAATACATAGAAACAAACCCAAACAGGCAGCCAAAATGGGGAGACAAAAAGACAAGCCCCAAATGAAAGAACAAGAGAAGTCTCCAGTAAAGGAGCTAAATGAAATGAAGATAAGCAATATATCGGATATAGAGTTCAGAATACTGATTGTAAAGATGCTCAGCAGAGCCTGAAAAAAGACAAGGAAACTATGAAAAATGACCAGTCAGAAATTAAGAATGACATAGCAGAAATAAAGAATACATTGGAAGAAATAAGCAGCAGATAAGAGGAAGATGAGAATCGGATCAGTGAATGAGAAGACAGGGTAAAAAGAAATCACTCAATCAGAGACCCAAAAAGAAAAAACAATTGAAAAACAGGAGGACAGTCTAAGGGAGCTGTGGGACAACATGAAAGGTAACAATATTTGCATCATCGGAGTGTCAGAGGAGGTCCAAAGTAAGCAAGATTAGAGAACCTGTTTGAAGAAATAATGGCAGAAAACTCCCCTAACCTGGTCAAGGAAAAGGTCACACAAGTCCAGGAGGCACAGAGTCCCAAGCAAGAAGAATCCAAAGAGGCCCACACCCAGACACATCATAATTAAAATGCCAAAAGTTCAAGACAAAGAGAGAATCTTAAAGGCAGCAAGAGAAAAGCAATCTGGTACCTACAAAGGAGCTCCCCTCCCACAAGGCTGTCAGCTGACTTCTCATCAGAAACTCTACAGGCCAGAAGGGAGTGGCATGAAGTATTCAAGGTAACGCAAAACAAGGATCTGAAACCAAGACTACTCTATCCAGCAAGACTATCGTTCAAAATAGATGGTGAAATCAAGAGCTTCCCAGACAAAACAAGGCTAAAGGAGTTTATCACCACCAACTTAGCATTGAGGGAAATATTAAAGGGACTGCTGTAATAATAAGAAGAAACAGAGAAATATAGGCATAAAGAACTAAAATGGCAATAAATAAGGACCTATCAATAATAAACTTAAGGACTTTAAGGGAGAGATCAACAGCAATACAGTCATAGTTGTGGACTTTAACACCTCACTGACTTCAATGGATAGATCTTCCAGACAAAAAGTCAACAAGGAAACAGTGACTCTAAATGGCACACTAGATGAGATGGATTTAATTGATACTTATAGAACATTTCACCCCAAAGCTGCAGGATATACATTTCTCTCAAGTGCACATGGGTCATTCTCGAAGACAGACCACACTAGGACACAAAACAAGTCTCCACAAGTTCAGGAAGACTGAAATCAAATCAAGCATCTCAGATCACAATGGCATGAAATTAGAAATCAACTACAGTAAAAACACTCAAAAACATTCAAACACAAGGAGGCTAAATAGCATGTTATTAAACAAGGAATGGGTTGCCAAAGAGATCAAGAAAGAAATAAAAAAACTTCCTGGAAACAAATGAAAATGAACACACAACAACCCAAAATCTATGGGACACAGCGAAAGCAGTCCTGAGAGGGAACTTCATAACGCCACAGGCCTCCCTCCAAAAGCAAGAAAATTTTTTAGTAAACTAACCCTACAACCTGAAGAATTAGAAAGCTCCCCTGTGAAGCCATCTGGACCAGGGCTTTGTTTGCTGGGAGTTTTTTTATTGCTGCTTCAATTTCATCAGTTGTTATTGGTCTATTCAGGTTTTCTGATTGTTCCTGATTCAGTTTCACATAATCTCACTCATGCGGACTCTAATGAACAAAATAGACTGAGGAACAAAATAGATGCAGAGACATAGGAGCATCGAATAGACTGAGGGATCTCAAAGGGAAGGTGGGGGTGGGGAAGTGGATGGGGAGAGATTAACCAAAAAACTTGTATGCTCATATGCATAACCCATGCCACAGAAAATAGTGTGGCAAAGGCCTGGGGAACAAGGTAGATGCGGGCTGGAGGCGATCAATGGGGAAAAGAAAGGGGGAATATCTGTAATACTTTCAACAATAAAGATAAATTTAAAAAAATAATAATAAAAGAATAGGAACTTATGGAGGAAGAGGCAACAATAATTAAAATTTCAAAACTTAAAAAAAAAAGCAAATGTGCTAAAGGATTATCTAACGCGTTTGACATTATGGAACAAATACCCCAGGGGAATCATCATAAGGGCGTTTTCTCCAGGTTCTTGAGAGTGTCGTTGTGGTGTGGGTCTATGTGTGGCGTGTACATGCACACCACCACAAACAGGCCCAGAGGAGGGGCGGGCAGAGGGCTCACAGAGCTCAGCGCTTTCACAGAAATAAATCCCACCAGCCACTTCTGGCCTCAAGGATGCCCTCTTCCTCCAGCTGTACCCCAAGATCAAGAGCACAGTCGCCACAGCAACTCCAGGGATTCGGTGGAGCCCACCTGAACGCCTTCCTCGTCTAGTAGCTGAGGCCACTCCAGATCCCAGGAGGGCGGTTTGAGTGGAGTTGAATCTCACTCAAAGGCCTTTTTTTCCTAATTACCGTCTTATTACTAGCCAGACCCCAACTCTGGGTAACCTGAGAGAAAAAGTCCACATCCTCGTTTCCCAGTTAGCTCTTTAGGATATTGGGAAACCATTTTTTTCTAAACAGTCAACTGGCACATTGAACAAAAATAGTTCTAAATCAATGACCCAGCGAATGCAAGTTTCCTTCACAAAGAAGGTATTTCATGCTGGTTGCTGGTTTCAAGATCGCACACAAGGTGAAACTCATGTAGTCAAACTGACTCTTGAAGTCCCTTCAACTGCCCCTAAAGCTAACATGTGGCTCTATTTCCACTACACTGTTCCTCATTCAGCTCATTTTACCTTCTGCAGTGAAATGAGTCACTGTGGGTTGGCTGTGTATCACCTGTAGTGAATGACTTGCATTTTGGGACCATGGATGATGAAACACTGCTACTTTTTGTGTTGCTGATGTAGGGTTAAATTTGTGTGCTCACATGTGTACATATGCTGTCTTCTGTTGCAAATTCCCTTGCACTTTAAAATGCACACATTTTGCAGATACACTAAAACACTAAAGCAAGGACAGAGGCTGCCAGGGAGGTGGCAGGCAGGGAGAGTCCTACCCCAGAAGTCTCCACTGACCCAGATATCAGTCCCAACAGTGATGTTAATTAGCTGGGATCCTCTCGGCCAACTTCCAAACCTTTTTGGGCAGTATCCTGATCTACCAAATGTGGTGTGGACTGTACCTACCAAGTCTGGCCCTGCTTTGAGGTTCTGAGGTTCCCTGGAGAGCTTAGAGCCAGTGCGTACCTTGTAATGGAAAGCCTCAGTGCAGTGTTTGCACTGGTACAGCCGGGCCTTGCAGTGGTGGATCATGTGGCTCTCCAGCTCTTTGCTGCAGTCAGCCACGTGCTCACAGATTGGACACTGGTAGGGCTGCCTCTGCCGATGGACCCGCAAGTGCTGCTTGATGTAGCCCTTGTTTCCGCTCGCGTAGTGGCAGAGGCGGCAGCGATAGGGCCGCTCTGCATTTGGGATATACTCCACCACGCTGCCGCCCGACAGGCTGGCCTCGCCGCTGGGCTGGCACTGCGCATTGTCCTGCAGCTCCTTTAAGATGTCCTCGTCTGAAGCATTTTGGTCCGTCCTTTCCCTCAGCTTTTCAATGACAGTGAGTAAGGACACGCTGATGCCTGTCTTTACCTGCCCGTCGGACAATTCCTGCCTGCCCTCTGGGAGCGTCACCAAGGGGTAGTTGCTTTGGTTAAAACTAGTTAATCCATTTGAAGAGTTTTTAAGTGGTGACATCATTTTAGAATACGCTGCCAATGTGCTATCTACCTGCCTCTGTCCAGTATCTGGGTCTAAGAGGTTGACATTCCCATAGTGCCCGAGGCTGGCTCTTGTGAGCTCCACAGCCCTGATCGGCATTGTGACCAGGGCTTCTGCCGCCAGGGAGTGCAGTCTAAGGGACTCAGAATTAGTCCTCCTGCGGCCAGGGGGGGCGTTCTCATCAGGGGCCAGTCCCTGATGGGTTAACTCACTATCCTTCTTCTCTGGGTTGCTCCAGCCTATGATCAGCCCCCCGATATCAACAGTACACTGATCAGCACGATATACTTCACCCCTCCCTTCACACTCTGTCTGGGCTTCTGTCGGGCTCAGGCTGTTCTCCTCTTCAATTTCAGCATTCACGAGGAAAGGTTTCTGTGACACAGTTTCTTCAGCACTTGGCAAACGCTCCACTATCACGTTAACATGACCTTTTTTATTGGGGCTACTGCTGATGATCTTCTGTGCAGATGAAAGGAGGCTGTCAGTCATCAGACTCTCCTCCGCATCAGAAATCACCTCGAGCATGTCCTCCTCGTTAGGGCCGAGGGTCACTGACTGACGGACACCAACACCCCCCTCCGCACCCTGCTGTAAGGCAGATGCAGAGGATAATGGTTCTGAGCTGCAAATCTGCACCTGTACTGACGGCCCGTTGTGGATACTCAGTTCGTTCTCTCCAATGGCGATGACCACGGCATCAACCCCGCCAGGAGCAGTAGCCACTGAGGAATCCAGCAAGCCCAGGGGCTCATTCTCATTTTCAAATATTGGGTAGGAGCAGTCCACCTCCCCGGCATGTTTCCAAGCATGTGTTTTCAACATTCTCTGCTGCCCGCACGTGTAGCTACAAAATAAGCACCGATACATGCCGTACTGCTCGTAGGCGTACCACTTCCTCCTCCCCATGTCTGCCTCGGCTGCGGTGGGGACAGCATGTGTCTGTGGACTGCTCACACTAACAGGGAGGTCAGGTGTGGCTTCATTCTTCCTTTCTGTAGGCCTCAGACACACAGAGCTGGAGGGGCTTGTGCACTGCTGGGCTCTGGGTTGAATGTGACTGTTGGCATCATTTCCATGGTCATTTACCACATGAGCTTCCAGCTCCTCTTGGCTTTTAGACGTAATGTGGCACTCTGAGCACATCAGTATCACTTCATTCTGCTGGCCATGCTGCTTGATATGGTCTTTTAACACTGAAAAAGATGATGACAGAAACTTGCAAAGACTACACTGGTAAGACATAGCCTTCCCATCATTCTGGGCAAGAGAGTTCGGGCTAAATGGCGTTTGTGACAGCTCAGCCCTTCTAATACCAGCAGCAGGCGGCTGGGCTACCTTAGCTGGGACCTCACAGTGTTCTTGGGTTTCAGGAGAGTGTGTCCCTGCACTTGAACGTGAGCGTTTCTTCCCAATTAAAAGACATTTTTGTGACTTTTCATGTTCCACTATCTTGCTTAACTTCTGGATAACATGGATTAATGGATCTGTTTTAGCTGTACTTTGTTCATCAACTTCCAGTGAAGAACTGATGACAGTTTCGGCTGTCAATATTGCTTCCTGTTCCCCAATATCTGGCACCAACATGGCAACGCTGCTGCTCTCTTCCATATCTGGAAAGGGTGACAGACAACAGAGAGATGCCAGGTCACAGGATAGTAACAGTGTGCAGTTCAGGAAACCAACCAGTCTCAAGAGTGTATGCTGACCTAAGTCTCTTCAACTGGGAGCTCTGCATTAGTGAACTGGCTACCTGTCAAGAGATATAAATTGTTCAGAATTTCTCTCTGGGACACTAGCTCCTGTCAGGAATGAAGATGGAGAGCTCTCCACCCTTCTTTCTCTGGAAAAAGTCTAACAATCTGCACCTCCTTTTTCCTTCACTTCCTTTCCCCCACACATCTAGCTGGACCAAATCAGTACCCCTCTTCTGCACAACTGCTTGAAAGAACACAGCCATTCCCAGGGCAAGCTGAACCACCTAAGTTACTATGAATTACCATCCCTAGAGCCAGTACATGACTGATGCAACTTCTTACACCAAATATAATTGTAGTTTTTTCCTCTGCAAATCTTTGGAATTATGCAAATATAGTAATTAACTTATTGGAAAGGGTACAGTGAACTTTGAGAAGTACAATGCAGATGAAACTAAAAAAAAAAAAAAAAAAAAAAAAAAAAAAAAAAAAAAAAAAAAAAAAAAAAAAAA